TGCAGGTTCGGGGGTATTTTCAGTGCTTCATCATTAATCATGTCGTTGGTCGGTGTTACTGTTAGGTGTTGGGCTGGGAGGTCATCGCATTGCATGCCGCGACTCGGTTTCGTGTACCTTGCATGGGGGGGTCCAATTCCCACCTCAAGTCCGACGGCAAGGAAAGGGAGAGCTGGGGATCTTTGTTGGCCTGTGCGCTCCCGTCCCGAGTTCTGTGAGTGACTTTCTGCAGCGGCCTATGCACTCGAGAGCTGCCAGCACCGCACACTGCAGCACATCTACCATAAGGTATACAACAATGGGGGAATTGCATATGTGATAATGTGTGATAAGACACTGTTTGTCTTTTGTTCCTTTGAATGATAAAATCTCCTTTTCTCCAGTCTATGAACCCCGTGGTATCTCATCCAACTTTCGTTTTCCTCCCTTGAGATGCTGCCAATCCAAGAAAATGCCCCTCCGCTCAATGCCCAAAGATGAAAATACATAATGCTCTAAACTACAGATCAAATAGAAAGCGCAGGATCCCGTCGTCTTATTCAATCATAGACTTTCCAATCTCACTCTGCCAGCCCTCGGCCCTCTCAAACCCATTGGAGTGAGTCTGGTAGTCCATCAGGGCCTGATATACCTCGGCCTTGGAACTCAGAACAAAGGGACCGTACTGCACGACCTCCTGGTCAAGAGGTGTCCCGGCAATGAGGACGAACCTTGCATCCTTGTCCGCGCCGGCATCGACCTCAACGTTGACAATCTCGCCTTCCTCCTCAAACACGACGTTGTGGAACTCGTCCACGACCCTCTTCTGCGTCCCCTCGCCAAAGATGGCCTGCCCCTCAAGCGTGTACGCAAAGGCATTCCACCCCTTGGGCACCGGCTGCGCGATCCGCCCGCCGGGCTTGATCTGGACATCCAAGATCCACACGGGCGTGTACGCCAGATCCCGCACCGAGTCGACCCCGTGGCTCTGGCCCGAGATGACCTTGACGTGGACTTTGCCGCCGTCGACGTCGACGGTGGGGATCTCCTTGGCTCGCAGATCGCGGTACCGCGGCTCGCAGGCCTTGAGGTGCTTGGGCAGGTCGACCCACAGCTGCAGACCGACGTTGGCGCTGCCGTCCGGGTTCTGCTTGGGCATCTCGGCGTGCATGATGCCGCGGCCGGCCGTCATGAATTGCAGATCGCCGGCCTCGATGGTACCCTTGTTGCCGGCAAAGTCCTCGTGGTCGACGCCGCCGTGGAGGAGATAGGTGATTGTCTCCTGGCCGCGGTGGGGGTGGTCCGGGAAGCCCGAGCCGGGGGCGATGCGGAAGTGGTCTTGTAATCTCGTGTTAGCAAAGCTTGGACTTTACTGCGTATCCGTAGGCAGGCTCGACATGAAGAAAAGTGAGCGGGCCTTTGGGGGGGGGGGGGGGGGGGGTAAGGATAACTCACCAAGCATCAAAAATGGTGAAAAGTTCTTGAGTTGAGGGGTGCCGATGGAGCGGCGAACGCGAGCACCAGCGCCCTCGGCCTGTTCAACGGCCAAGAAGACCTTGCGGATTGCGCGAGGGACAGACATGTCGGTGGCATACAGGTGATCGTCTACTTGTGGTTCTTGCTGCTGCTGCGAAGACTTGGCTTCAAAGTCGAATACGCTTCCGTTCTGAATATTGCTCAGAGAGTTGAAGAAGCTCGTTGCGGTCGCGAATGCTACACCCACTATGTATTCTCGAAAAGTTGCAATCGATGCGATTCCAATGATGATGGATAGCCAAAGTGAGAGGGACTTCATTGATGAGGGGCGGCAACCAGGGATGATATTTGTACGTGAATCGCTTCTCAACAGGTTTTGGTATGAGAGTGAGAAGAAGAAGTGTAAATATTCTAGAAGGGAGAAGATGAATCTATTTGATCAAGGACCTAGAGATACGTTGCCTCTCTCCACATTGCAAATACCACTCTAGCCTTAAGAAAAGTGCGGCAATGTGCCCAGCAATAGCATCGTGAGGAATCGTCTTATGCACTTCTCTGGTAAGCAATGGCGCATTAGTCAAATTTACATCAGCAATGGAAAAGCAGGTCTCTCAGTCTCGCGGCGCGAGCTTTGCCCACCCTCTCTGCCGGGGTCCATGCCGCTAAGCACCTAAGGTAGGCAAGGCAGCGCAGGTGGGCAGGTACGAAGGTACACACTCTCAGCGTCTCGCCTAGGTAGCTGGGGGCATTTTACGTCAGCTATTAAACACTCAGGGACGTGGGGGGGACCTTAAGGAACGCTAAACTTGCTAAGGTCGGGTCGGGAGGCTGCAAACAGTTTGTTTGCTTGGTAACTTGCCGGCTAGTGATGTAAGCTCGCGGCCAATCACCGTGACCAATGACACCATGCAAGAGCCGCCAATCGGCAGCCAGCAACCTTCCCCAGTCGCTCTCTCTCCTCCCCAGGTCTCTCAGCGGCTTGATCTGATGTTGAGCGCAACTTATTGCTCCAGACTGTCCTCACAAATATCAGAATGGAATATAGAGTTTGCCTCACTCTGGGGTTGACTGCCCCAACTCCACCCGGTAGCTTTTGCGTCTACTTACCTATACTCGGACTCATGCCTGTGCGAGTGAACTCCTGCTGCTCAGCCTCTTGGTCTCACGCGGTGCTACGTCACATGCAACGGTAAGCTTGGCTAGGAAACACAGAGTGTCTATTAAAGATTTTGATTCCTAAGAAAAATCCGATACCAACTCCAGCTCCAGCACAAGTTCAACCTTTCGAAAAAGATCAACGTCCGCCGAAAGTCAAGTCGTCGTAACCGTGCCCATCAACCTTGAGGGAGTATCGGGCGCCTTGGCGGGCGCCATCAGCCCCGGAGGGAATAGCCCCAGTCCGATTGGCCTCCGGAAATGAAGGGCCGGAGCGGCGCGCTAGATGCCTCTCTCTACACACTCCCCGTATCTCTCTTCCTCCCTCGTACACCACTGGTTGGAACAGACAAAGGAGAAATCAACGTAGCACACAAAAACAGTACATGAAAAGCTCTTTATCCGAGGTATAGATTCCGTTCCTTGCTGTATGTCGTAGAAGCGTTCGCCATCATGACTACGGCCATAGAACCTGGAATTGGTTCAAGAATGCCGCCGAGGGAGGGAAGGGTATATGAAATGGAGGGGGGAGGTAGAACATCAGCGAGCTGTACAGTTACGAGCCATTGCGCTTAGTTGTTGACCTTCTCGTTGACGACCTCCTTGGCCTCTTCCTTCTTGTAGTGGATGACGTCGCCAACCCAGACAATGAGTTCGCTGGTGGTGATAAGGGCGGTTCCGATAAGAGCCTTGCCGTAAGCAACAACGTTCTCGCTGCCAACCTTCTTCTGCTGCTGGCTGAACGTCTTCAAGACGTGATCCTTGGCCTCGAAGCCAGTGCGGATAGGCAGGGCAATGATGCCCTTGGCGCCGGCGTAGAGCTCCTCGGTAGGCTTCTTGACGACGGGGAAGCGCTCGTCAACCTTGGTCAGGGCCTGGTCGCCAAGGTTGTCTGCCTTTTCGGCGTAAGGGCGCAGGTATCCCCAAGGACGAGCGAAGTAGGGGAGCAGAGGCTCGGCGAAGGTCTTGTAGGCAGAGTCGCTGTAGACCAGGGACTTCTTGCCGACAGGGTGGTTTCTGAAGGTAACGACACCGTCATGTACTACGGGGTAGTCCAGGAAGTGCTATCATGGACGGTTAGTTGGAGGTTCCGATAAGAGTCAAAGTACGGTTGCATTCATTGATAACGCACCTGAAGAGCAGCCGAGGGCACGCTCGGGAGGTCACCGTTGACTTGGGCCATTTTGGGCATTTAGTAGATTGGCGGGGGTTGCGTGGGAAAGTTGAGGTTGTTGATCCGTCGAAGCGTGAAGCCCGGCGAATTCTGGTTGAGAGTTGGAGGTGGGTTTGCTGCGGAGCAAGCTCGTGCGCGCAGGGGAGAGCTTGCAGGTGAGGAAAGCTGCGAGTGAGGTCCCGGAGCAAGGTCTCGTAGTGGATATGGAGGATTTACTGAAGGATTCAATATCAGAACAGGTCACGTCCAGATCAGAGCTGCAAAAGCTGGGAAAGTGAAGCGAATCGAGGTGTTTGTTGGACGGAAGAGTTGGGAGAATAGGAAGACGGGAAGGGTTTGGTTGTTGGAGAGGGAAGAATCAAGAGCAAGACGTATTGGAGGGAGGGAAAGGTAGTAGGTAAGGCAAAGCTAAAAGGGAGGGAGACAAGACGAGACACATGAGAGAGGCGTGGAAGGAGGAGAGGGCCAGAAAGGGGAGAAGGAGGGAGACTCACAGATAGCAGCAGAGGGGTGTCGGATGGCAAGACTGAGAGGAAGCTGGTTGGATGGAGGAGAGCGGCTGGAACGGAGAAGAGCGTGTACAGATGGGTGGTGACGAGGTTGACGCCACAGACGGGAATGGACTGAAATGAAAGTATTTATCTACGTCTTGGTCGAGACGAACAGACACGAAAGAGAGGTGAGAGCGAGAGCATGAGCATGAGAGCCCACCTCATCACCCACGTCTTGTTGTTGTACGGGGCTGGCCTAACGATGTTGCCTGAACCCCTTAGGATGCGAGACTAGATTGATTAGCATGTGCTTGAGACATTCACAGGTCGAATGCGAGGAAAGGGACGCCCAGGAATGCCGTGGTGGCGGGTCCGGCCCAAGTATCCCTACCAACGAGGTACATGCGCCACATGCCAGTGGGATGTCGTCTTTTTTTCTTCTTTTTTTCCTGTTGGTCCTTCTTGCTGCTCTGTTGCTGGTCCTCGTGCTTTCTTGAGTGCTCTCCTCTCTACGCATCCACTGCTGCAATTCTGAATTGGTATCGCTCTTCCCTGCTCTGAAGTCAAGTACTTGATGCTGCTGCTGCTTTTGAGAGAGAAGAAAAATCATATTTCTCTGCCTGCTGGATAATGTCGTAGAAGGTTAATGATAATTGGCAAGGTCAAGTACCTAGATAGATGTTCATGAGGTAACTGCTCAAGCCACATGCAATAGCACCTTGCACTGCTGACGGCAGCTTCTAAAAGCACCTATCCCTGTCCGTCCCGCCCGTGGGCAGTAAAACCCGCAGGGCAGGTGCGTGTGTGCAAGCACCTCACATTGTCGCATTGGTCGTTTAGCTATCTCTCCTTGGACGGAACAGCTTCGGCGGCAAACCCAGCGATAGGAAGAATAATTAAGGTAAGAGCATTATCAAGGTAGGACGGGCAAGTACATTTGGTAAGGCGACCGACAGTTCTGTAGGTAGTATCGAACTTGTCTGTAGCTGTAGGTAGCAAGCAGCAGCAGGAGCAATGGCTTGCATGCGTCCCTATCATGACCCCCCGGCTCCTGACATGTGAAAGTGGTACACGAACTCTCGCCCCGCCATATCGTGTCAAAGTGGAATGCTGGAAGGGACGGAGAGAGTTAAAAAAAGAAGAACAAAAGAGGGTCTCGGCCGTGACGACTGGGCAGGGAATTTTTTAATTCTCTCTCGTCAAGAGTCAGCAGATATCACATTAAACATATGATCCGTATCCATACTCCGTACTCCGCGATGGAATAGAGGTCCTTTTTTTTTTTCTTTCTGAGGGCTCCAAGCAGAGGCATGTGGTCCAGCAACAGAGACGAAACGGATGGTGAGGCCAAGGTGAGGAGGAGGAGGGGATAAGCTCCCACACTCGAGCAGTCGCAGCCGCGTTCCTGAGATGCCCAAGTACTGTGTGTCCTGCGAATTGTTGGCCAATTCGGTTGCGTCTGGATCAGACCATTGCAGTCCTCCAACGAATGCACGGAGTCGCCCCCCTCCCCTCCCATCCGTCCCATTCCCTCCGGCACGGAAGACATACGCGAACGCACGGCGCTTTCCTGCATGCCGTGGACGGACCTTGGGACCCGTCATTATGTCATCATGAGAGTTGATGGTGCAAGCAGCAAGTCAGCAGCAAGAAGGAAGCACGGAAGCTCTACCGGTATGTACTTACATAGGTAGATGGCACACCGAAGGGAAAGGGAGGAGAGGAAAGAAGCGCCCGGTCAACAAGTCGCTGCTCAACACGTATGCGTGCCTTATCTGACAGTTTGCCGGAGCACCCGCTGATATGTGTCCCAGCGGACGGGTTACTTCCACCCACCACACACTCTTAGGTTCTGTGGTTCTCTCCACTGGTGTCCAGTCTATGTGTGAGTTGCTGGATGATGGATGAGATGAGGCGCTCTGAATGACATCTGCCTCAAGCTGTCATGCATTCAGTCACTCATTTCTGCAGGAGTAGTGGCTCTTTTGGAAGATGATCTTTGCCAAACCATTGGGGTTCCCCTTTTCCTCCTCTCAATACCTACAGCATCTTGTCTCCTTAACTTTTCTCTGTCCAACCTCCCACATTGGTACTCAGATATCTCGCGTTCCCACTTCGTACTCCGTACGCATACACCATCTCGAGTGTCAAGGAGGGGCAAAAGACCCCCAAGCTCCTCCCGCAACCCAATAGCCATGCCACCACCCTTGCTTATCGCTTCACATCCCCCAAACATTATCACGGGGAGATCCCAAGCCAACGACTGGCGCTGGTCCTGCACGACCACGCCCTAGGTCCAAATAGCGGGATACAGCAAGCCAAATTGGAGGACGAGCTTCACACTTTCTTCACCTTTTGGTGCTCTTATTGCTCCTCTACTCATCAAAATCCACTCCATCGCGTACCGACTAGCCCAAGGTACCTGACCTAGGCGGCCTTGTGGCATACGCTTGGATGTGATGCTACGCGGTCCGGTCTTCAGCCCACTCGAGCTTGCGTGAGGTGGACCGTGGGATGGTGAGGGGGCCTCTGCGCCCCCGATCTTGCATTCCGTTGCCTGTGAAGCTCCTCGTCCTGGCGCTGTTTCCTCTTTTGTTGGCCGCCTTCGTAATGCTGGATGACGCCGTCGCTTGACCCCCCAGAAATTAGATATATCTTGACCCGTGACGCGCCAGTCATCCTTTTCAGTCTCCATCTCTCTTCGTGAAGCTATGGCCTCTTGATGAGCACAGGAGCTATCCGTCCTAATCACTCGACCCGCCAGCACAAATTCGCCTCCTCGGGCTCGGACTGTGGCCTCCACCTTACTAGGTACGCTGCCGCGGCTCTCATCGTCGACGACGCCGCCTTCGTCCAGCTCGACCGGGTGAACAGTCAATGGCACCTCGGGAGCCAAGCATTGGAGGGGACGACATGAACCCACCTACCTGTACGCCGTCGCCACTTTCAAAAAAGGTCTCATCTCTCACCTGACTGGACATCAACGCGACGACCCGTTTTCTCGTCTTCCCATTGCAAGTAATACTCGGCCGTTTTCTGCTCCTATCCGTCAAAGATAAAACCTGGAAATCATCGGACAGTTTTGACGTGGTAGGGGAGAGGGAAGCAAACCACCCACCCCTGGCCCCTGATTGCGTTCCCTCGTTCCCCACCTGCACCAGCCACATGTGCCCACCTTCACATGTCAGGCAATGTCTCACCTACCTGCAGGGACAACCTCAAGGTTGAGAGCTCTTGCGTCCCATTCTGCATGCCAGTGAGAAGTGACGTGAAATACCTACAAGCACCTTTCTTCCTAAAGTGTCGGAAGCCGTGAATGCTAGAGGAACTGGTGAGAGGTCGGATGGCGCTGAGTTAAAAGTATCATTTGGCTTTCGTGCTCTGCTGTCATGGTGGCAATGCTCTTGCAACTCGTCATTCCGCGAGTCTGCGACAAACTCGTCATGGTCAGCGGGTGCGAACACGCTCAAGATTGAGTAAACGTCACGAGCTAATCATCCAGGAGAGACATGATATCAAAAGGTGTGCAAAGACGGGAGCCCTCCCCTCCCGTCCCATCCATCCCTTGCGAAAGCGAGTAGGTAGGCACACGTTTCCCTCTGTCGTGGATACGTGGTTGACGGGAGAAGGACGGGTTGGACGGGGTGTGGATGCCCCTGCATCCTGCGTGAGAACTCAGCATCTTGAAGTGTGCCATCCATCTCAGTTTGTTGGAAGGAACGCTTCCTTCTGCAGCGTAAGTGGGAAAAAGAAGGAAAAAAAGATCCAGTTCGCCACCTCACCCGATGGGAACGCGGCACTCCGCGACTCTTGGCTGGGCTCGTTGGCTTAGCTTTTCATAGCCGAGGGCCTTTTGACCGCTTCGGTTGATAGGAAAGTGCAAAGCTGCGGCGGGCCGATATCGTTGACCCCGACACTCGGGGTCTCGAGCCCCGGGAAAAGGGGGGCTGGTTCCGAGAACCCCGGCTCATGTGCGGATAACGGCCCCATAATATCTCCGCGTCTGGTCCGAGATGGCCGGGTATCGGAGGAGGGAAATCCGGTGTTGAGAATGCCCATGCCCGGGCGCTGGAATTGGGCTGGCCTCAGAAGTCGCTCTGCAACGCCGCTTCATTCGACATGATCTCAGCAGCGTATGTGAGCTACGGTTCACGGCCCTGTAGAAGATGGTATGAATCGAAGGACGGCGAGATGGTATGTCCAAGGGCGCTGGACCTGAAGAACGTTTCGACTAATCTCTTATTTGAGAAGAGCGACCTCGAAGTTTCGAGAGTTGCGTTTGACGCTGAGGAAAAACGTGTTTTTGTTGATGAATCGGTTCTTAGAGGTGGCTTGTCGGGTTGGCTTTTTTGACAAAAATTTCTTGACAAAGAAAGGAGAGGCACCACGAAGTAGGTGGCCTCATCAAGCGTTCGTAAGCTTCGTAAGCTTCACTAGCAAAAGCCTTTGAACCAGAAGCTTGATCCAACTTGTGCCGCTACACATGCAATCCTCTATCGATGTCCGCTAGTGACGACAGGAAGTGGAATCGAAAACGGCTTTGCCCGAAAAACAAGGGAACAAGTCCCCCGTCTCCGAGAATAACTCGACGATGCGAAACGTCGTTTTCTCGGTTTTTCGTTGTTTCGAAACATGGGACTAGATCTTTTGCCCAGGCCCAGCACGTGGTGACTCGCCATCACCACGGAGTGGCCGTGGCTAGCACCGATGCCGTAGCCCCGTCGTTGAGCTTTCACCAGACGGGCATGGCAGACCCGCCCGCTTGAGCAACCGCCCAGCCTTGGAATAGCATCACGCCGTCCTCCCGGCCCACGAGTCTCGCCCCCATTTCGATCGCGCGGCTCGTGAGGCCAGAGAAAACCGGTTACCAGGCCTCGTGGAAACTCGCAGACAAGGGCACATTTTCGGTATCCTGCGGAGACAATATCTATGCTCCTGCGGTAGCCCGTTTGGTCGCAGATGCCGCGTCCTCTCGGGACCTTGCTGGTGTATGGCGGATCGATTTTATATCGTCAACTTCGACACTCAAGCCAGCGGAGGCCCTTGCGTTAAAATGCGAAGCGTAGTTGGGCCTTGACCGGGGATTCCGATATTGGAGATCACCCGCAATGGAGAAGGCCAAGAATCCGCTCGGGCGTCAGAGCCTCAGAGACGACGCATAAGGTACTCGGCCGAGGATGACGGAACGGTACTCGAACGAAGGAAGGCGCTCCGTCGAAGAAACGAACCAGGTTTCTTGGGGCTACTGGCGGCAGTCAATATTGATTTCCATCCATCTCAGGACGGACTCGTCGCACGGTCCGTTCAGGAGACACGAAATGCTGACCTTGGCTGTCAATGTTTATGTAAACCACCTCTGTCATCTCTCTCAATAAATGACGGCTCATACTCTCGAGGGACAGTGCGTCGAGACCTCATTTATCATGGGCTGAGGTTATTTCGTATTGAGCGATTGGCAAGGCTCTGGCACAGCGTCCGTCTGTCCGTGCTGCCGGGGCCACCGGGAAGGGCGTGACCGTTGAGAGAAGTCTCATTGTGATGAAATCCTTATACGTACTCGAGGGATTCGACCTAAAGATGAAATTGCGCAGACGGGAGCATGGCATACCACGCTGCCTACCGCTGACTACGTCGCAGTCACATTTCAGGATCAAGGCATTGTTTGGCCTTGAACTCTGAGGTCATTGGCAACTAGTATCACCTTCATTCTGTTTCACCGCGTTTGGGCCTTTTTCTCCTTTCTTTTTCTTCCTTTTTTCTCGTTTTGACGAAGTGACGGCTCACTCGGGTAGGTACGTACCGACAAGACCAGGGTTTCTCATCAACAACGGTGATGGAGCCAGGGATACGGATGGAGACTTTGACCCAATACCACTTTCACGGTCAGTGTTTGCAGCCTGCAGGAGGACTGAGTGGATTTAGGTATGTACATACGCTGTTTGCCCCCATGCGGACTTTGGACCAAAGAGATCGAAACCAGCCTCAGATAGATAGAAGACGGGGATCGCCCGAGAGCCCGCTGTCGAACATTCAACGAGATGGGGGGACCTGGGACTGCGTTGCTGTCGACGAACGGGGCGTTGCTGTAACTGGCCCTCTGTGAATCAGTGTGGTGCGTATGTAGGAGATACGACAGCGATCAGGGCCTCGGGACTCGTGCTCAGATCGCGACAAGGTCCAGGTCAGTTCGTCAGTGGAACGCGCAGCTGACAAGTGTAAATTGATCCATAGCTGGGCGGCACCAACAATGCAAGGAAGAAGCCAGGGTCACCAGAAGTGGAAAAGAAAGAGGAGTGAAAGGTTTCTTCCTCGAGGAAGCCCACGATCATTTCCCCCCTTCTTTGGACGTTCTCCCAGCCTCCGGGGCTGTGAACAATAAAGTCCCCGCCGTATAGCTAGGCAAAGTCGGAGCAACGTGGAACTGGGCCTGTGTCCGGCCCGTGGGGGACCATTGTTCGGGTTACAGATCCACGGCTTGCGTTTTGTGCGGACCATTAATACAGCTGGCCAGCTCTTAATACGGACGAGATATCCAAAGTCGCTGTGTGCTCCGGCCCCGGGGAGGGCTCGCCAGCGTCACCCAGACTGCCAGATTCTCCCGGTATCCAGAGTGGCGGGTCAAAGCGCCCTGATGGATGTGACGCTTTTCAGACATCTGCGGTAGTGCAAATCGGGCCGCGTCTGCTGTAGATGACAGGCGGAGTTCGTGGATTCAGCAAAATGGGACGGGCTTATTCAAACGATGATGCGTATGGCTGGCTTTGGTGGATATGCGGGCATCTCCAGTTCCAGTCCACGGGACGCAGATTGACGTGCTGTGGTTTTTTTTTTTTTTTTTTTTTTTTTTTTTTGGAATTGAAGGAGCAGGTTTCACTATATCTGGTGCATTCAGATAAGTAAGCATACATCAATGGGTTCGAGGAAGCAAACCGCACTCGCCAACAGACAGCAGTGCCCCTGCGAGGCTGCGATCACTTGGTAAATTGGCACATACTAGTCTTTTTTAGTCCATCTTTTTGGAGGGGATCTCACGGATATTTGCGGTCCATCAAACACCTTGTTTAAATAGAGTGAGCAGCTCCCACTTTCGCAAAGATTGGATGACATTTGTTGAAGAGGCCCATCCGTTAGCGCGGCTGGCGCTTCGTTGATGTCCGGCGACAGAGTGTACGGATAGTTTGCACTTTGCACTGACAGTCCGATGCCAAGCACGAACAGCTTTGCCTCCACCAGTCGAAAGCTATAGATCGCCGTTCTTGCACACCAACCTGGCATCGGGCTGGGTCGCGGGGCTTTCGGCGTGTTCTGCTTCTTCTGCCCTGTGTCGTGATCCATTTCCTGTGGCTTCCAGTCGTCCCGCAACCCGGTTCAGTTGATTTGAGATGTTTTTTTTCTCCGTCGTGGAACCAAGGAAGCCCCTGATAGAAGATGCAAAGCTGCCGCGGATGAATCGCGTCGCGCAAGATACTGAACGGAGACTTGGTGTCATGGAACCAAAGTCCCGCCCCGGCAGGCCGCCCACTTCAGCCCCCGGGGCCTAGCGTTGATGCCCATGGCCATGATTTGCTCGCACTACGGAGTACACACAGTACGCCTGCTAAGGCCCGATGGCTCGCAGCTGGCTGATGGGCGTAGCGCGTGTGCTAGATTTTGTGTGACGGCTATCGCTAACACAGTATTGGAAAATGTCAGCATCCTAATATCAAGGTACCGCGTCCTGGGGGCACAGGTAGCCTGCAGCACTCAGTGCAGCAGCCCACACGGATCTGTCCCCTCGTCAAACACACAAGCCTCTCTGGTTGTGTGGGATGTGCTGCAGGTGCGTCGATCCGGGTTTGTTGGTCGTGGACACCCTTCAGCCAACCAGTCGAGGAGCGACCAGGAGCTGTCGAGTTAGGTATCCTGTAGGATGTCCCAGACTCCAGGGACCCGTGCAAGGAGAGCGTGTCTTTGAGGGGATCAGAGATGGGGCTCGAGCGCTTCGGCAGATGATCTTTCTTGAGCTTGAATTCGTCATCTATCTGGAGAAGGCCCCTAGAAGGTTGCATTTTGTGCGCGTTATTTTGCAGGATGGCTGGCACGCCGCACGGCTGGCTGGAACAGTGGAAAGTTGGTTGGCAGTGCACGTTGAGGGTAACTTGGGTTCTCACGCCCGCTCGGATGCCTTTTCCCTCGGTGATTTGCGGTTGCGATAGAGTGCCATCGAAAGTGCTACATGGAGACGGATCAAAAGTCGTGATTCGTTGTTGCGGCACATGGCACATAGTGACATGGACCTTCGTATCGGAAGGTCTGCCCAGCATGCTATGCGTGGAATTGCATAATCGTGTCGAGCTGATGTTTAATGATCTCCCTGGTCAAAGAGCAGGCAGATCAGCAGAGTGCTATTCCGTCTAAACTTTTGAGGCGTTCCTACCATTCAAAAAAAAATTACCGTATCGCCGGTCCGTCCACCATGCACAGCACGCAGCACACCCCATTCGTTCGCCAGGTATTGAAAGAGTATTCGTACTCCGTAGGCGGCGCGCCGGAGTACAGACGAAGGCGAGAGTGGGCGCGTCCCAAGAGCCTAGAGGGGCGAGACGTGAAGGGTTTGGCGGACGGTAAGACGATGCAAGCACCTGGAGGCTGGCAGGAAGCTTTAGACCGGGGACGACATTCGTGACCCAAAGCAGATAGCTGTCATCGTTTTAGGCCCAATAAACCAGGGAACTGGTGTAATCGCCAATCATTCCGTGGAAGTGTGTGGTGAGGAAGAGGCGATAGAATTTCCAAACGAGACTGGCCAATTTCTTTCGAGAGCAGTCGGTACTGAGCGGCGTCAGCTGTGACTGCCATTGGCTGTGGACCGTTAGTCTCCACCACAGAAAGGTGGAGATGCAATATTAGGGGAACGACCAGGAAGGTCCAGATTTTGCAGGGGTCGTTCTGGATTCGACCGGGGGGCTCCTCCGTCATCCACTTCTTCTTTGGAAGGAGAGGCCCGTGCGTGTGATGGGACCTGATGGGAACATTTCAACGTGCAGCAGAAGACTGTCAGAATTTTTTTTTTTTTACGATCACCAGTCATCGAGGGGATTGGGGCAAGCCGCGAACACAAAAGGCTGGAAGGAAAAAAACCAGACGGAGAGGAATTGAAGCCGCTAACACGCCGCCGCATGATGCTAGTATTCCACAAGTGTACGCTAGTTCCTCACATTTTTGCGGGCTCCCACGAGTCGACTTGTATCTCTGGAGGAGTCAAGGACGGGAGTCTACCTACCTTAGGTCAGTGACTACTGCCGCTACAACTGCAAGTGCTGCTCAGAGGCTTGACGGCTTGCAATCCCCGGAGCCAACGGCAAAGGCAGAGAACAAAGACACGACTCGACGGCTCTCCAACTGGTGTCGAGTGTCGAGTGCAAAAGGGTCTTTGCTTCTGCCGATTGGGCTGAACTTGTAAAGCGACTGATTCAAACCGACCATCGGATCGTTTTGAGGGGCTTACTTGCTGCACGAATTGCAGTATTAGTTTGAAATTCGGGGTCCTTTGCTCGTGCCGCGGTGTACTTTTCAGACAATGTTGATGTATCTGTACCAAGTACACCTAAGGAAGGTAGTACTGCCCGAAGCGGCTTTGTTTCGTTTTGTCTTTTATTGCCTTCCTTTAACCGCTTGTTCCAACGGTCCTTCTGTCTGAGATGGATAACGCTTGGCTCGTTGGGGGTTGGTTGGCTGGTGCTGACGGGATGGGTTCGTCCTGCTTTCCCCTGTTCCAGCTGCCATGTGTCCCATCTCGCATCCTTATTCCGAGGGCATTGATAAGTTTTCAGTGTAAATCGGGATTTGGAAGCCGGATAAGCTATTGGAAGCTCTAACTGAACTCGCTTGGCTTTTGCCGATCGACTGCTTCGTTCCCTGAAACGCGGCGCATGGCGGAGCTGGGAATGTCTCAGTAAACAAAGGAACAGAGAGAAAGGAAGATAAACGGTTTCCACCTCAGGGTCCTCTTGTTGTCTGAAGTTTTGAACTGACCATTAGCTCGGGCAAATAACGATCTCACTTTTCATCCTTAATCGACCTTGATCTAGGTACTCCGCATAGCTAGCTGTATGCAGTATCTGGAGGCAAGATACGGATAGTGCGAGTGCGAGTGAGGCGTGCCAGGTAGTGCTGTCCAATTCCAAACACAAGGAGCCCAAGGTGCTGTACGGAAGAGTATCATGCCATGGCCTCCCGCCCGAGATGCAACAGCAGCAATTGCAAGAGTCAAACCCCCGGAACAGTCCCCATTTCGATGGCCACGGCGCCATGAAGCGACTCCAACTTGACGAGCCGTGAAGCTGCCGTCTCCATATGGCGCGCAGTTGGCGTGCCCATCATAATGCCCCTCTTGTTCCCAAGGTCAGCAGTAGCAACCCTCAGTACGAAGTAAGGTAGTTAGGTAGCGGTACTTGATGTGTACCTTGCAGATATCAAGTTGGAGCCTTCCATGAAAGTTGAGCAGATGGTGTGGCCTGTCCGCGTGTTCCTGAATCCCACCTCGTCCCCTGTCGAACAGTGGTACCGCAACACTGCGCTGCATGCCCCCTTGCACACCCGTCCTCTGCCCCATCTGTGTCCCGCCCTTACCTGCGAACGGCTCTTCTCCGTGCTTCCTCCCCTCACAGTGCTCCCTCATCACCCCTTCCCTTCTAGTGTACCTGCTGCGTAGCTGTGTGCTCAGGTCCTGGCTGGCTGGCTGGCACTACCTACCTAGTACATTAGGTAAGGTACTGCTCCCTTTCCTTGCTGAGGTGGTGCCCCCGTGGTTTTTACTCGTCCAAATCTGCGGTTGGTTGTATCAAGCTACCTATGGAGTAAGGTACGGATACCTACCTGCCCTGCTTTGCCTGCCTCGAGATGCGCTAAGAATACCGGCCAAGGTACATCATTGGAACCTGCATCCAGGAACAAGACTACTGCGTACGCTGCTGCACGTTGGCTGCAGACCTTAATTCCCTGTCCCCCGGTCTGTTAGGTTGCTCTCAAAGTCGCTGCATCTCTTGGCCTGTGTTTCTGTCGCCGCCCCTGTCTCTGCTCGTTTCTTCTCTTCTCTGCTCCGTAAGGTATAGGTACTCCGTACGCACACACGGCCACACAGTTTGTAGGTACTCTGACCTGCCGTTGCTGCTCCTGCTCGACCGTACACTTCTCTTTCCAGCTTCGCGTCGGGTGCTTGGTCCCCCTTTCGCTTCATCTTAGCTCGCCCGCCAGTGGCACACCCTCGTTTTCTCGCCATCTGCCTCTTGTTTCTCCCACACACCCTCTCTTTCTCTACCCTTCCTTCTCCTCCACGTCCTCCTATCCAAACACCCCCCCTGGACAGCACTCTCCCCTTTTACCTCAGCTGGAACTGCCTCTTCTGGTCTCGTCTCCGATTTCTTCCCCTTCCTCCCTCCCTCTTTTCTTGTTTCTTCTCTCCCCCACCTGTCACCGAACAGTCAGTCAATCAAGCAACCAGTCTGTGCTAGAGCCTCACAACTCTCGCTCAACCAGACCAGACAATTCAAGTTGCTCCTCGACCCTCCTTCGAATGGCGTCCTTTTGAGCAACTCTCTCGACCGACGACTCCTTGACGAGAGCTTGCTCTCTGGATAGCTTCCTTGCCGTCTTTTGATTATTCGTATCAAACTAGGCCCTTTTCCTTCGACACGCTGGTCAGCTCGTGTGTGGCCCGGATCATCAATCACCTCGTCACCTTCTCCTTCGCTCTCACGTCCACCTATAAAACTTCAACATAACTTTTCTTTCTTAACGACGACTAATCACTGACGAAATGGCGCCTTCGCTGAACGCACATTCGTCCTTCACCCGGCCTCGGACCGGCGACCGCGATGGTCGACCTACCACCCGTGATCAAGTAGACAACAACCTCATTATTCCGAGCCGCACTTCCTCCCTTCACTCGCGCATCACCCAGCCGATCCCCTCGACCTTGAACGCAAAGCCCCAGCAGCGCACCCCGAAGACGCTTACTCACGCCTACATGGTATGCGGTGTTGGCAGAGAACCTTCGCAATGGGTCAAGGCCCCTGCTCCTGCACAGGGCAAGATTGGCCACATGAAGGGCGCTGTTGGTCAATTCTGGCTGCCCGAGATTCTTGGAAGCAGTCCAAGGTTGGAACAAGACAACGAGATTGCCAGGTCGTTGCACGCTGCCATGCGGGTTAGTGGCTGTTTGCCATCCGTTTTGTCTAGAGTTTGAGTGGCTGACTTGTTATAGGCTTGCTTTCCCCACGACGTTGAGATTTGCACCGGCCGCAGCCAGCCCCACTGCGTCCATCATGCCTTCGTTCTGCAGCAAGACTCGTCTCATACCTTGTACGGAATCTGCCTCCGTGTGTGGTCGCGAGCCGATGAGAAGAGGGCCGAGACAATTCGCGATCTGCGTAAAAGGACCGAGCCAGACTACTACGACAACCCGGATGAGACGTATTGGATTCCCTACTGCTTGTCGTTCCTGTCTCGGTACCCGCTGTACAACCTTCTTGGAGACTACTTGCGAGGCATGTGGATCCACTGGAACAAGGCTACCAACCTGTTCCACGCCGAGGAGGTCTCACGCATTCTCAGTTTCCCGGCTCCTAGACTCAACGACCTGGTTCGCATCGACATGAAGGATTATGCCCTTTGCTACCAATTCCCCTCGTCGCCTACTGGCTTCCAGAACTTTGCCATGTGGCCGTTGTTCTGCTGCTTGTCCATCCCCAACATTGTTGGTGTCGTTGAGGCTGCTATCTCGCCAACCCGCCGCATCATCTTTGTCAGTCACTACCCGGCCATGCTCACCATGGCTGCGGAGACTGTCAGATACTGCGTTCGCGTCTACGAATGGAGTGGTCTTTATGTACCGGTAGTGCATGCTCGCCATGCCAAGGACTTGGTTCAGGAGCCCGGTCCGTACATCCTCGGTGTCACGGCCGAGTGCCGCTCTTTGTTCACCGCGCCAACGGACGCTCTGGTCGTGGATCTTGACCGCAACTTCGTTCTTACTTCCAGCCCCCCGACTGCACTCAACCCTAGCCAGCGCAACAAGTTCGTCACTCGCCTTACACAGTCTCTCAACGGAGATGTCACTCCCTCCGGCGTCCCACCTCATCTCCGCTCCGCTTACGGCGGTGGCAAGCTCGTTCCCGCCGGCCAGATCATTGTCATGCGTGGAGAAGTCGAGTCTATCCAAGATCCCGAATGGTGGAACCAAGACACCGTTATGGCTGTCATGGACCATGTCTGCGAGAAGATGGGCCGCAACACTGGCATTAAGGCTGTCTTCGGTGGCTCCGTCAAGAAGCCCCTAATGACCAAGGTCTCGATGAGACATCTCAATGAGATTGTTCGCGAGAGAAACCAGTACTCTCGTGATGCTCTCGAGGCTTGGCAGGACTTCATCAACCTGAAGGGCCGTATGGATACCGAGCTCAACAAGGTTACGAAGCGCAACAACTATCTCAACGAGGAGCTCGAGAGCTGGAAGCAGCAGTTCCTCAAGTTCCAGGCATTTGCTGAGCAGCTCACCAAGGAGACCCAGGATCTCAAGGCCAAGATCGAAACTCACAAGAGGGAGAACAGACGCCTTGCGGGTCTCATTGATCAGCAGAAGGACGACAATGGTCGTCTCAACGTACGTCTCGGCGCTACTGAGAAGCAGCGTGACGATGCTCTGGAAGCTCTGGTTCTCCAACAGGAGATTGCCGAGGAGCTCGAGCGTGAGCGTAAGCGCAACAAGAAGGAGCTTGCTGCTCTTCAGCACACCAACGTCACCATTCTCAGACAGCGTGACGAGGCCCGTCGCGTTGTGCTGCACCTGCGCAGCCTTATTGGTGGACAGAGCCACCACATGGAGCACCTGGTTCAGTCTCTGACCAAGCCCGACGACTTGGCGCATGAGATCGAGGAGGGCTTCGAGCCAGAGATGGGCGAGGATGGCATTACTCCCAGAGAAGCCGACGTCAACCAGGCCCGCCTCCTCTCCGCTGCCGCCGAGGCAAACAAGAGGCTCTCTACCTCGAGCTTCAAGGATGTGGCCGACCGCCACCTCAAGGACAAGACTGATGCCATCGCGCACATCATTAGAAACATTGCCGAACAATGCCAGGCCGCAGTTGAGGGCCTGCAGTTGGCCCAGGATGCCGACTTCGACGAGCGCTCTGCCAGCGCAGCCCGCCTCCGCGCTCAGCGCCGTCGCAGCAACCTCTCCGCCACCCACAGCGATGACGGTCACGAGACCCAGTCAAACGCGACGTCCGACATGGGCGAAGATAGCCTTCTTCACCCTGCTTCTGGCCGGATATCCAGCATCCCCCCTACCCCAGACCTGGTCCCCAACCGGAGCAGCACAGCGATGTCCTTCGCTTCCAGTGCTGCGACTCCCGAGCGCTCAAGTCAGCAGTACATGATCCACCAGGACATTCCTACTAAGATTGTTGAGGACGATGAGGACTTCGAGGAGAATCGCAGCGAGTCGGAGACGATGCCCCAGCAGACTGTCGGCAAGCACACTGACAGCCTCATTCACCGTCCGTCTGGAGCGCGCATCAGCGCTCTTGGCGGCACCCGCTAAAGAACTATCGCTGGCGGTTTCGATATAATCCATTTGGAGTAACAAGCGACTAGAGAGGATTTCTTTTCCCCCCTCTTTGGTCGATGGGGAGGACGATTCACCGACATTGTGCATACATCTTTTTGCCTGATACCTTTTTGCACTTGTGGTCGTGGACAAAATCTTGTTGTGTCCGGCGTTTGCAATTTTCTTATTTCTGTTTTTCTTCAAGAGACTAATTAATGTCTTACCCCTTTTTTTTTTTTTCTGCCTGGGATAATTGAACAGGGCTCGCTGGTGTCCGGATTGGACGTTGTCACGATTTTTATATCATTTGTATCTCACAAGGGTGGAGCTTCCTGCTTAGTTCAGTTCATGTCCCTCCTTATCTAGTACCCACAATCCGAATCCAGTGAGAGTTGAAGGAAACTACCGTTTCAAACACGAATATGTGTGTGCCGTGACCGTACTATCAATCGTCCCAAAGGTTCACCTCGCCCTGGGAGCCAACATTCATCAAGTCTCGATTCCATGGTTGCAGAGTGTAGATATTTCCTTGAGCTGAAGGGCATGACAGCGGTATTTGAACTCGAATACTGTTGCAGTCTCAAAGGAGAGTGTCTATCCCCCTCACCATGCTAAAGTCCAAGTCTGTCACGAGTTATGGCACGCAGCAATGGGCATATGAAGTGTGGTAAAAGTGGCTTGTATTAACCCAAATAGAATCGAGCAAGGAAAGGTGCTATATAGGAACAAATCAGAGAATCACGTGATAACGCACGTGATGAGCTGATTACAGAGTGCTGATGCTATTCCTATTTCGTGACAAAGTCCTAGTCTATAGGTGAACCTCTAAGATATACGTTCCCTTGCACATCATTAGAGGGTCTACCTAGCACGCCTCAATCCAGCGCCTTCGCTACGCTAGGTAGTACTGCGAGCATCCATGTTATACCAGTTGGGTGTGAAAACACAGAAGGTATTGAAAAGAATGGCTCATATGTCACATTGAAGTGCTCATAAGACTAGTTCGACGTCATAGTCACACACATTACCTTCGTAGATGTTGAGGCAGTACGGATGTACTTGCCCCGAAGATATCAAAAAACATGCACAACCGGAGCGACGTCCTCTTCAGTTTCCGAAGACTTTGAGGATAACCCCTGTAAGCGTTGAGTACCTTCTACTCACTTAGGTTGCTCCCGTGTACAGCACACACGATGTTTGGACTAGACGGAGAGGCTCCTTTTACTTCTTCTTCAATCTCATGCAACGGGCAACATTATTCATCGCTATAGGGGGCATGACCCTCATCCTCTCCATGAATTCACATTCATTTCCTTTTCTAGGTAATACATGTCTTCCTTTATGGCTGAGTCTTCGGACTTCGGTACTAAAAGTTGCTCTGCTAGTCCTTCGCAGAGTGGGCTCGACTCCAAGGACGATCCTCCGGTATAACTATTACGCTGCTCATGGAGCGGGCTTCAACATGGTAAAGAATAGCTTCAATGATGCAATGATCTATATCATAGGGATCTTACGATCATCAGTCTTTCATTTTGCCCGTTGCAGGCTGGCCAGGCTTGGATTCAATGAGGTTCAATGCAGCGGTGCCGGAAGATGTATTTCGCCGGCAATGTGACGTCCAGTCTACCTTGGGTGGATCCAGACCCTCCAACACCGATAAGGTAGCGATAACAGAAAAAGTTCCCAGGTCCCGTCGTCTGTATCCGTACCTGAATTCAGTTCAAGGTCCCATCACCATCCCCAGCATTGCAAACCTGTAACAATCATTCCAGCCAGGAATTAGGCTCAAAATATACTCTCTACCGTACCAATTCAATTTCCTGATTTCATTGTATCCTATTATTGTTGTCCAAAAAGCCAACCACGTACACGAAAGCGGCCATGGCCGACCCCCTCCTCACAAGCCTCTGCGCAATCTGCCACATCGAGCCTCCCAAATACAAGTGCCCGCGCTGCACCCTCCAGACCTGCTCCCTGACCTGCACGAAGCGCCACAAGTCCTGGTCCCAATGCAGCGGCATCCGCGACGCGACGGCCTACGTCCCGCCCTCCAAGCTCAAGACCGCCGCGGGCGTAGACCACGACTTCAACTTCCTCTCGGGCATCGAGCGCGCCGTCCAGCGCTCCGAAAAGGAGATTGTCGAAGAGCGGCACCTCTTGAAGCCCGAGGACCTGAGGCCGGTCGAGGTGCGCAGCGTGCAGTGGAAGACGGGCCGCGATGGGCGCAAGAAGAGGGTCATGGTCACCGAGGTCCTGAGGGGAGACAACGGCGGCGGCCCGGGGGGCGCGCGGTACGAGGCGCTCTCGAGCATACCCTTCAAGAAGAGGCTGGCGACGTTTGGAATCCTGCTGAAGCGTGCGCCGGTGGGCATGGCCAGACAGAGGGAGAACGGGACCAACTTCAGCAAAGCCTCTGCTAGGATCAACTGGCAAGTGGAGTGGCTGCTCGTTCCATCCGCGGACAATACAAAAACACCGCAATCACAACAGCAGGAGAGCGAAGGGGATGCCAATACGACCGCAACGAAGAGGATACTAGCCAAGACGCTCGACGACGTGCCACTCTACAAGGCCTTCGTCGCGGGCCAGAAGTCGTTCAACGACGAGCAGGCCAGGAAGGAACAGCAACGCCAGCAGCCACAAGACGACGACGACGAGGTCCAGGAAGCCAACACCACCCACACCGGTGGCACTGGCCGAAACAAGAAGCGCCGCAAAACCCAACACAAACCGGGCCAGTCCCTCGCCACAGCCCAAGACACGGAGACGGGCGCCTGGCACCCCGGCCGGTTCTTCATGCAGTCCTCTCCGCGTGGCACCTGGATCTCCCACACCGGCGTCCAACCCTTCACGGGCACAACGGAGGAGGAAGAGGCGCAGAAGAGCAGGTACACGTTCTACGTCGCGGGCACGACCTCGGCGGCGACGGCAGCAACAGGCAAGACGATCGTCCACCCCGTAGAGGCGACGACGCTCCTCGGCGAAGCCCTGCGCGACCTCACGGTCCCCGAGTTTCCTACACTCTACGTCGTCGAAGCTGGCGCGGCCCTACCGGCGACGTTGCTCCCGGAACCGAAGCCAATGCACCTCGCCCCTAAACGGAAACACGAGAGCAACGGCAGGAAGGCAGGCGGCGGAGGCGGCAAGGCCAAGAGACCTCGCAAGAACCTGGAGGATGGTGAGCTGCCGAGTGACGGGGACGACAGTGATGGTGATCTTGCCGACGCCGACGTTGATAGGTTCGCGGCTGCTGTAGACCAGATCATCGCCGAACAAAGTCTGGGTGAGGAAGACGATGACGGCACGACGAGCAGCTCTGGGTCGGATTCGGAAAGCGACGAAGTGGTCAGCGCCAGCCTCGCTGCCAAGTTGGCATTGTTGAAGAATAGACCGATGTGAGATAAGATTGGCCTTTGTACAATACCACCTTATATAGAAGATCATGATACCCTCGAGGCCCTGCATACAGCCTTTGTACATTATAACGGTCAACACAGAAACAAGACTTGCGTGATCGTCTACTACTCTTCCCATGGCACAAATGCAAAGCTCCAAGAAAACATGACAGCCATCAGTATGTTCGGATATCGGGTGCTCAGACGCGGTGGGCCGCGAGGTGGACATTTCATAAACATCAAGTCACCACATGGCAAGGCAAGATCAACATCATGGGGCGTCGCGTCACAAGTGGACAGGTACATCAGAATGGTGGAAAATTTCGTTGCTACTTTTGGACAGACGTTGCCCCCAACTACCTCACCACCACCATTTTACGGCCAAATGCCTACGATGTGCCTATGATGGCCACCAAAACCACATTGGATATCAGTCCGTCAAGTCATTACGTCCTTTGTGTAAAGCCATTTGTATCGTGAAACCATTGTTAATTGCCGTCCGAAAATCGACAGCCCAGAAACTCGTTGTGCCTGTTTGACCCTCCAGAAAAGATTCCGAATCGTCCATGTTCCACACCTCATCTTCCCTGTCCATTTCACTAAAATGTGCCCGTCACAACCGTGTCGTGTCAAGTCGAAATTGGTAGAAGGCGAGGATGAATCCGGATGTCGAAACCAAGATTATGGGTCCAGGCGGGTATTTACCGCAACTTAGAAAAGCAAGTATATTGTCATCTGAGCGAAAGGCGCTTAGATGAACATGGCGGCAAAACCAGCGGCAGCCAGGAAGCCAGCAACGGGGACAGCAGTCGCCTTGGCCTAGGAAGAAACGTTAGTATGGGAGTGTACAGCAAGGTAGATAGGTAGTTGGGCAACTTACAAGACCGCTGGAGCTGGAGCTGGCAGCGGTGCCAGTGGCAGAGCCGGAGGCAGAGCCGGAGGCAGAAGCAGAGCCGCCAGTGGTGGTGGCACCAGTAGCCTCACTAGCCTGGCTGGAGAGAGCGCTGGAGGCCGCGCTTCCAGTAACGGAAGAGAGGAGAGTGGTCGAGCCAATGGTGGAGGTGATGACACTGCCGTCAGAGGTGATGGTGCTAACAATGGGCTCGGTAGTGACAGCGGTCTGGGGAGCAGAGGTGGCTCCGGGGACACCGCCAATGCCGAAGAGGGTGGTCTCGCCGGTGGAGGTGATGGTAGACTCGCCGCTGGTAATGACAGTGGTGAAGGTGGAGGTGGAAACCGGGCTAGGGGTCGCAGACTCGCCGCCACCAGAGGCAGCACCAGTGAGGGTGGTGACACCAAGGAGAGTGGTCAGGGTGCTGCCACCAGAGGTGATCTCAGAGAAGATCGAGGAAACGATCGGAGCGGCGGTGGCAGTGGCGGTGGCAGTGCCAGTGGGCTGAGTGACAGTGGCACCGGGGATCACGGTGACAACAACACCGGCCTCTGATTTGGGTGTTAGTGGATCTAATAATCAAATTTGAGAGATTGCTTGGGAAAGCAGAACTTACGGCGGCAGAGCTCAATGCCAGAGGCGACAGCGGCCTCAGCATCAGAAGCCTGGGTGCAGCTCTGGAAAGAGCAGTCGCGGATGCCGTAGGCGAAGTTGGCGTTGCGGCAGAGGCAGGCGTTGTCGCCGGCAGTGCAGCCCAGGTCAGAGGCGAGACCCTGCATGGCGGAGATACAGCCAGTCTATTGATCGAGTTAGAATCTCAGATGCTTGAAAGTTGCCAAGTCGGAACATCTGAACATGAAAATCCATGCGACTGAATTTCCATGTTCACAGCGGAGGGAGGAATTTTGCTTACGCCACAGGCGCCCTGAGCCATGGCGCCAGAGAGAAGGCCAGCACCGAGGATGATGGAAGACTTCATTGTGAATGATTGTTGATGGGGTTTGTAAGACTGGAGAAGAGTGAGTCGTTTGCGAGAACAAAGTCGACAATGAAGGACCTGTAGGTAGAGGATCAGTAAAGCTCGGATTTTCGCAATCAAGTAAAATGGGAAACAAGTTATGCGCGTGAGGAGAGGTGGTCGCAAAAGCAGTCAATGAACAAGGTTACCTGGAGACAAAGAGCGTGCGTGGGCTTGGAAAGAAAGCGTAAAAGATTGTTTGCGATGGTGAAGAACGAAAAAGGTGGTGGAGTGGAAGTGGGAAGAGAGACAACTTTGTGGGTGGGTGGAAGGGGAAAAAGAAGGTCACGAGGTGGTGAGTGGGAGGTGGTGAAGGAAATGAGTGTTACGCAAATTTGGGAAGCTGCGCCTGGGGGAAGGTGTGGTGTAACTGGGGAAAGAACGAGGCAGGTCCAAGGTCGCACAAGACCAAGTAAACAAACTGACAGTGATATGCTGCTGTTCCGTTTTCCTTGTGCTTGGAAATCCTGGCCAAGAAGCTGAAGAATGAAGCAAGCAGCTTGCGATGGGGAGAAGGAAAAAATGAAGCCAGCGCAAAAGTGAAGGAGGCTCGTGATATCAGATATCTCGACTTACCTACGATTGATATTGATGTCAGAGCAGTCGAGGCTGTTGGAAGCGTGCTTGAGAGAATCTCGCGAGAGTGGTGGAGCGAAAGTGTGTGTTGGTGTGAGGTGACGATGGGAGAGTTGTTGGTGGAGAGAAATTGGTGGTTACTCGAGGTGAAGTGAGGTGAGGTGTCTCGGTGGATAGGGCGGGGGGTAGATATTATTCGAGAATAGGTGCCGAATCGAGGTAAGGCAGGTAAACAATGGAATGTCACGTGGAGTATTAGAGTACCTTAATTGAAGGACGGAAGGAAGGAACGAGGAAGGAGAAGGGAGTGCCTTCCCGTTTATAAGTCAATTGGGGGACGAAGGTGCGGGATGGCAGTTGGGCACGACGTACGAACCCGGTGCCGTGCCTTCCTACTTGGCTACGTTGCTACCTACCTACCTTACCCTGTAGACCTGAGATCATGGGCAGGCCTTATTTCCTAGCCACCACCTATTCGAATTTGCAAACCATTGGACAAGATACCTTAACTTGGCCTGGCCGACGGGACTCCGACCTTAGCATGCACCGATGCAGTCTGCAGAGCATCTGCGGTGAACTGCGAAGTGGGCTTTCCCGTCGACCAACGTTGAGTTGTTTGATACCCAGATTTTTGGAGAACCATGTCATTTCGGCTGCCCCAACTTTAGTTGGCTTTGCCTCTCACGCTTGTCCTGACGTTGACATGCCGCTAGCCAGCAAATGAGAAGCCACCCGGAGCTAAGGTACTATGTAGTCAAGTCGATGTGGGTATCTGATGTGGAATTCATCCATCTTCCAGGTTAGTGCTGCAGCAAAAGTGGCGCCAGGTTGGTCTTCACAGCTCAAGCTCGGCCCCAAGCGAACCTCGCTCGTTGCTCTGCGCCCGTCACCGGCAACTCCTCCAGTCTCCAGCACCAAAAGTCAACACAAGAAAAACCCTGCTTGGATCCTAAGCCACAAACCCAAAGCTGCATCTTGATCCTCTTCCCGCTACCGAGACCCGAGAGTTGTCGGCCCGGTGGCTGGAATCTCAGCTAAGACCGACCACGCTTGTGTGCTTATCATGCGAGGCAAGCTGAAATCTCTTTGTGAACAGCGAGTCGCGCGCAAACAGCCATAAGGGTGAAATTGGCTCCCGGCAAAATGCCCCTCGGGTAAATTGTAATATCCCAAGACACCAATCTTGGTGGCCAGCGCGGGCTAGATCTCACAACGAGATGAGAGATGCGACCTACTTTCGGGGTTGATATGCGATGTTAACCAGGATATGCCTGATGTAACCCTCCCGTCGCCGCCAGCCAGCGTTTACGGAGTACCTTAGTCGGGACATTTCAACCCCCGTCCCAAGCTCTCAGGTTCCAGCAAGTAAAGAAAAGAACTTGGTGCCATGTGGTATCGTTCGGCCTGAGCTCTGACGCACTTTTGGCTCCATCCCTTCCGCTGCAACGCTGTCAAACACTGCCAAACTAAGGCAAGAAGGCTGGGGGACGTGCGAGCCTGCAGGCTAAGGCAATGGATGCGATGTCAAGAAAAAACTCCTTCCCGTTGGAACCTTGCCCAGCAACCAGAACCTCGATGGGAGGAGGCTCTACCGGTAAGTCCTTCCTTATCAGAAGCCTGGGTCAACAATTCAAGCGAACTGCGAGTCGCGGGGAGGGGGCAGTTTGCTGGGTTCGAACCCTGCCATCCAAGATACCCATGCCAACCTGCTTTTTGCAGCACTAACGAGGCAGGAGGCAAGGTCTGTTTCTCGATGCGACAATCAAGCTTCTGGGGCCAGAAATGAGGGACAGGAAACAGGGACTCAGCATTGAAAGCTCGAAACAAATTCCGGGGCTTCGAGAGGCGAGGTAGGTAAGCTGGAGGTAGCCGGAAAAGCTCGCATCTACCCGTACGACGCGCAAGCCAACGTAGTTTGTATCTGCCACGTGAAGCTGGCTTCGGTCATCTTGCATCACAATGGCCTTGGTTTGGGAGGTGTACACCGCCCGACGCTTGGCCTCTCGTCATGCTAGAAAGAGGCAGCCGGAAGTCGGCAGCATGATAGCTTACAGATTGACCGTTAGTGACAAAGGTTGACGGCAGAAGAAAAATCATCGTGGGCAGACAGATCCCGCCGGGCCATGGCCCATTGGTGAGTCGGTGACTGAGGGGTGAGTTGCAGTCAGTCACGGCGGGAAACAAGGAAAAAAGTGCTAGCTGGCAAGGTCTGGGGCGGACGTGGTTGCGTGGCTATGACCGTACCAAGAGGGGATGAGGTCAATCAAATGCACGTCGACGCGTCCGATTCGCCAATGACCCCGGGAGTCCTCTGTTGTGGCGCCATGGCGCTCCACTCTGTGTACTCCGACGTTTAATTGGACAGGTTCGGCAAAAAGGGAAAGGACGGGGGAGGAAAAGAGACAGGGGTTGGGCTTCCTACAGGCTACGCCTGGGGCATCAGAGTCAATGCCCACAAACCAACAACGACTTCTCCCGCACTTTCTTTCCCATCATTCATTTATTCATGCTTTTGCGCCGGATGCCATCAGACACTCTACTGCTTCATTTGCGCCAAAACTTCTTGCGGGCCGTACTATGTTGCTGCTTTCCATCGACATGGATTTGTTCGTCTAACGTTGGAGCGCACAACGATCTCCCA